GATTACTAGTGCACAGACATGACTAGTGTTTGACTAATAGGCTGATAGCTATTCAAATAGTTGGGTAAGGCATGTGAATTGCCTCCAAGTGCCTTGTTCCAACTTCCAGACATAATAAACTCTTCATTATTCTCTAATCTTGAAGATACAAATATCCTCATAAGTGAAACTATAATCGGATGTAGTTTGTGTTCTGTTCTAACATCAGGGTGATCATGGATCTATGTTTCCCTTGATGATTTTCTCAGAAGTACCGTGACAAAAAAGCAGGTAACTTAATAGAACATCCACCCCCTGAGTTAAGTCCTATTTGCTATCATTATATGATCCATGAAGTTCAACATCCTATCTCAGATAAATTTGTCCCAATAGAGAGGTGAAACTCAACTGGTATAAGGTCCTCTGACACATAAATGCATCAGCAAATGAACATTTTTACATTACTGAAAACATAATCTTCCTTGTAAGCCTCTTACCTGTGATCTATCCTTCCTTTCATCAATCCTGATGATGCAAGGATTTAGCTTTAGTATTTGGCAGAGACACAGCAGTGTGTGTTGGCTACAGAGACTTAATTCTTAAAATGTAAATTAAACTATCCTCTGTCTAATGACAACATCTGAAAAATAACGTGCACTGAAGATAAAAAAGGACAATCAGAATAAACCGAGTTGAAACCCAATATAAAAAGGAGAATCTTGACAGTGAAAGCATTCCAAATATTACAGGTAGATGAAAAGACAAAGTCACAGGTCACATCCTTACAGAAACAAGTCTCCCACTGACTTCAGTATACTGTTTTGCCTGAGAAAAAACTGCAGGATTTGGCCTATAAACTCTTTTCACAATGAAATATAAACAATTTAATTCAGTAACATCATTGATGATATACCAGGAAAGAATTTGATGTGATCTGTAAGCTAAATGTAAAAAAGCAAGCACCAAATTTAATGCAAATGTAATTGTAAAGATGAACTAAATGTAGGGGAACTTACACATGCTTTTATTTTTTTACCGCATATTTGAAACCACTTTTTCACTTCTGTTAAGTGCATTTTACACCAAGACCACCAGATCAAAAGGATTAATTGATGTGTACATTGACTCTGATTCAAAAGACTGAGATACACACACACTGGGTTCTGGGTTATCCAGAAAGTAACTGTAATGTCAGATGTACATTCTGGCAATAGTGCCTCTGCAGTTAAGGTTGCTTTCCATAAGCACTTAAGCAGGGTTTCACTTCTTGCTTTGTATGAAGAATCTGCTGCAAATTATCTTTGATTTAAGACCGACTTTTCTAAAAAAACATCAAGTACATCTGTTAAAGTTGAGGAATTAAAGTGAGGTCTTTCAAAAAACTTCTATTTGAGTCATTTTGGGGGCTTCTCAAATCAGTCTTACTAACCCTTAAAATTTATATTTGAAGATATTAGGTTATTACTAGGTTGTAAGTAAGCAAAGTTAACAATTATTTTTTACCTGTGCCCTCCCTTGTCATGTTTGATTATCTTAGTCACTGAATATATTTGAAATCAACTGGATTACATTTTAAAAGAAGTCATGTTGTTGACCAACAGATTCCAAGTAACAGGAGGGAGGAATATAGCTGCCTCACTATTGATCATATCTCAATGGTTGTACAAATTTCAGCAGTATTATCTTTTCCAAAATGTCACTTTTGCCCCAAGTGCTGCTTGAAACCTTAGGTGAAAGCCTTCTCCCCCACTTCATGTCAGTAGCAAAACTCTCATTGACTTTTACGAGGCCAAGATTTCACCTATTGTCTCCAAGTTGGAGGTGAGAACATGACTAATGCCAGCAGAGGAAATGTCAGCATTTCATGCAATAGTACAGCAGTGGGTGTCTCGGAATTCCCCTTTGTCCTTTTCCCAGCTGGAAGAAGGGATCATGTGCTGCAGGCTAAAGGAGAAATATATATGTGTGGTCTGGACCAAGAGCTGCCCTCCTTACAAGAAGGAACAGCATCATCTTGTAGTAGAGCAAACAACTGAGTTTGCACAGATAGACCTGAAAAAGTTGCAGCAGAGGGGCTTTTGCTCACTTCACCATCATTGAGAAGTTATATTCCAATGTTTGTTAGGGTAAAATTTTCAGAAGTATTTACATGGCTTATGTGTCTAAATCCTATTGATTTTCAATAAGACCCAAGTCACAAACACTTTTTAAAAACATTTCTCACAGAGCATTTCTGTATTAGAAGTATTATAAATTATATGTAAAAGGTTATTCATAATTGAAATACAATTTATGTACTACTTTGTTATGTTTTATGGTTGCAATTTGTCTTCTAGGTCTTGCACATTTAAGTTCTGTTAGCCTAGCAGTTGGAACCTGACTCACCATTTCTTTGTACTTTGGCCTTCCAACAGGCTGATTCCCCAAATGATTATTTATATTGTTGTTGCTTCTTAACTAAGTAGTCACCATCAATAGTGAAAAGTTGGAATCTTACACTGGAAAATCAAGGAAGGTTTCCATAACAGATTATCTTTACTGAATGCTTAAAGGGAAAAATAATGTGATAAACCAACACAGCCCCATTTAAGAAATTCCTTATAAATTGCTTCCCAAATTATCATGAAAACTTATAACCCAGAAGTCACCACTAGAGCTGACTTCTGTTTTGATTCTATCCAGGAGTGTCTGAATTTTAAGGGCAAGGCTGCCCATCTGTTCAGGTCATCATTTTGCATAGGAGTAGTACTGATAATCCTTCATCTAAGACTCAAAAGCTGCTTATTCATTAAAAACCCACTACTCTGATGGGATTCAAACTGTCAAGGTAGCTCTTGTCATTTAAAACATGCAGAAAGTTCTTTCATCATGATTAACGCAACCTATTGCAGACACAACAGGAACAGAAGGACCATCTGACCCCTGAAATATATTCCCCAGACACAACCAGCATTCAGATACCTTTCTCCAACATAAATCTGAGACCTGTGGGCATTCCACCATTATGAGCAGGCCTGGTTTGAGAACTTTCTCCTCCAGGTAAACAGCAGCATTCTAGTTCTCACAAGACATCCTTCATCACAAATATGCAATCAGTACTGACACTTCTTCATTAAGGTTCTTTTTTGATAAAATACACAAATGTTGTTACCCCACATATCTAATTTTCCTTTTAAACATCTTCCTTTTCCTGTGCTAATTGCATAAATACTTCCTTTTGATATCTAATGGATTCTTTAAACATCATCTTTCTTTGGGATACCCCTTGTCTCCAGACCAGAGGATTTACATACAAAGATAAGACTACAACACTCTCATACTTACATCCCACACATACCACCAGTGTCCTAGAATTCCTATCCCACTCAAGTCAACTACCATACATTTACTAGACGCTAAGAGTGTGCCTAGACTAAATGGCTCCGTCGACGGAGCCATGTAGATGAGGCAGGACGGCAAAGGGAAATGAAGCTGCGATTTAAATAATCGCACCTTCATTTAAATCAAAATGGCCGCTGCGCTGTGCCGATCAGCTGTTTGTCGGCATAGCACTGCAGTCTCGATGGGGATCTGCCGACCCCAGAACCCTTTGTCATCAGATCCTTTATGCCTCATGAAACGCCACCCCGAAGAACCTGTCATTAAAGAAGTTTCTTCCTAGTTGTCTAGAGAACCTTCACTTCTTTCCAGTATCACTTCCCTCTTTTGCTTTGATAAAAACTACTGTTCTTGTAAAGGATATCCACTGAAAACACAAATTGTACAGGATTCAGTCAAGGCTAGGTACCCAGCTTACTACATGCTAGATTTGATTTATTAAGTGCCCCGGTACTCCTGTGAGGCATCTAGTTAATATTATACCTCTTTCACTGATGGATACGTTGCTACAGGATACTCTACGTCGGAGACAGCAAATGTAAATCTACCTTCATCATGCTTATTTGCTCCACTAAAATTAATTTTAATATGGTTCATATGGAGACTATTGTTAATATATGTTACATTTGTCATCCTTAAGGCTTTATCTTTTCCCCAAATGAAAAAAAAGCTTCAGTTATCTATGACTGACTTTGAAATTTTTCTTCAGGACACTATGGATGTTCCCATTTCAGGGAATAATAAACCCTGCATGTTCAGCATTCTCACAGCAAAATAAAAGTGTGATTTTGAGAAATACAGAAATCAGAACATTTTATGTGCTTGAATACAGAAATCTAACATTTTATGTGGATGACAAAATATCCATTTTTCCTATTAAAAAAAGGACATATGGAAATTCTGTTAGAGAGATTTGCAACCAACTATGCTGAATGCTATGAAATAAGTACATTTGTGTTTAGGCTTTGCTGGTTAAAAGAAAAGAAACACACTTGTTAGATCAACTGTGGTAGCACAGGACTTCGGTTGACTGAAGATTCTTTTATGTGAACAAAATAGATGTTGATCATTATTTCCACAACTCATGCAGAGCCAAATCTTGCTGTCCTAATTCAGGCAGAAGTCCCATTGAAAAGAATGAGTCACAACCAAAGGCTGGTAGGATGTACTGTTCAGTACTGACCTTAATCTACGGCTCCTGTCAGGCTGTATTTACTGGAAGTGTGGGCTTGAGGGGGGGAAATGTACCAGCAATTCAAGAGAAAAATATGGTATTAAAACTCCCACTGTGATGGCTCAGCTGTCAGAAGTTGGAATTCTACCCAGTCATGTTTGGGAGATTTAACAGTGCCTTTCGGAACTTTCAAATGTTTTAATTGCTTTTAAATTTAGTCTTCACTCTAAATTTCCTGGGTTTCTAATACGTGTCGTGGTTAACAACAGTGTTCTTTTAAGGTGGCTTTGTCTTTAAATGTACCTGCAACATTAACTCTCACTTAACTACATTGTATTTATAATTATATAGACATAGGCCACCCACAAGCTGTGACGTACAAAAGTAGAGTAGCAATCAGATTCTGAGTAGTCTCTCTGAAATCAATGGAACTGTTTGTAGTGGGAAGTGCCAATCAATAGGCTTAAAGATGTCAGCACTGGATCCATACTGTGTAGTTTTTAAGTGTCTGATTAGAGGTAGTAAGCTTCCCTGCCACCAGATTAGTAGTGGGATTACCAAATATTCATGTCTCTCTACTTATTGATCACAGCTTGCTGTTTCTTTATTTCTCCTTACAGGAATTGTTTCCATCATGACCCTCACTGTCCTTGCCTACGAGCGCTACATTCGAGTCGTTCATGCAAAAGTGATTGATTACTCTTGGTCCTGGAGGGCCATCACCTACATCTGGTTGTACTCGTTAGCTTGGACTGGAGCACCTCTCCTAGGGTGGAACAGATACACACTGGAGATACATGGACTAGGTTGTTCAGTAGACTGGCAGTCAAAAAACCCCAGGGATGCCTCCTTTGTGCTCTTTTTCTTTCTTGGCTGCCTAGTGGCTCCTGTTGGAATCATGGCCTATTGCTATGGCCATATTCTATATACAATACGAATGGTGAGTTGAAACAAGGAAGCAACATACACAATGAATAATTATACTTAGAAGATAAATGAGTAATTGGTCTCTGGAAAGATACATCGTCCCCAGGGTTTTATTGATACGATATCCTATGGAAACGTTGATGTACATAAAGAATGGGATCTTCATGCCAAATTTCCATTCATTTTAATGGTAACTTGGTATCCTTAGGCAAATTTAACAATTTCTGCCTAGATAACAGTGCTCTTTATCTCATGTAGTATCTTTACTTTCCATTTTTCATTTCTATCTCAGTACTTCTGACATAGGAGGGGAATTTATCTTTGGGTATTTTTTCTAATAGCATTAAAAATGAGATTCCCTTTTTCATGAAAGTATATAGGGAAAAACATCTCATGAGACTCTAAAAAATCCTACTCTACAAATTTGATAAAGCCATAACATAAAATATTAATCATAGCATTGACTGGAACAATGGTAATTTTCCTTTGAGGACGTATTCAGCAGTACTAGAGACATAGGTTAGATATGCATTGTACTTGTTTCCAGTGCATCTCTTATTTTGTGAGCCATCAGACTTTTGAAGCAATATCCAAACTCCTTCTCTTTGGAAAAAAAAGCTGCTATCAGATATGTTTGCTAAGATAGTGTTCTAGGTTAACTATTCTACTTCAGTCCAGCTCTGCAATCATTAGAAATTGTTATTTTTTGAGTTTGGTAGTCTGAATCCATTTTATAGTGGACTAGTATCTACATCAAATTTTAATAATTGATAGTAATTAGAGAGGCTACAAGCACATGTACACGATACTTCTCATCTCCTGAAAGCCATTCAGCTGATACGGAGAGCTGACCTGGCATAGAGAATGAACTATCCTATTCTTTCAAGAACTGGTCCCACCATGTCAGGATTATAAATCAATTGGCATGGCTCAATACCATGTCAGGATTATAAATCAATTGGCACGGCAACATGGAGAATTTTGTACAATAGAAGCTCAGATATAGATGGAGGCGGTCCATAACTCTGAAATGTTCTGTAACTCTGAACAAGAGGTTATGGACTTCAGCCATAGCAGGGAGTGGGTGGGTTGGGACTGCAGCCCACAGGGTAAGAGGGGAGTCAGAACACTAGGTGTGGGAAGGTGTCAGGGTTTCTGATCGTTGGGGTGCCTAAGCACCAGATGGGGGGTGCAGGGCGTCTGCCTTACTGGAGCACCAGGGCTTGGGACTTTATACTTGGGCAGGGAGCTCTGAGGTATTTGGCTTCAGTTACACTGTCCCACTCCCCATTTCAGCCTTGCAGGGGTGCCCATGGCTCAAAATGAGGTTTACCAGCGTCGACAAAATTGCTGAGTTCTGTCGACGTTATGTCGACAGAACTCAGCGGTAGTGTAGACGCTGGTATAGTTTTGTCGACAAAAGTCCACTTTTGTCGACAAAACTAGGTAGTCTAGACACACCCTAGGTGGGGGAAGGTGTCAGGGTTTCTGATCATTGGGGTGCCTAAGCACCAGATGGGGGGTACAGAGCGTCTGCCTTACTGGAGCACCAGGGCTTGGGACTTTATACTTGGGCAGGGAGCTCTGAGGTATTTGGCTTCAGTTACACTGTCCCACTCCCCATTTCAGCCTTGCAGGGGTGCCCATGGCTCAGAGCTTAATCTGAGCAGCTGTACTCCTGGCTTCAGGCCCAAGAGGAGCACAGAGGCTCAGGGCTCCTCACAGCTCCATTCCCAGTTTCAGCAGGTGCAGGAGGCATTGGGCCTCTAACTATGGGGGAAGCACCAGGGCTGAAATGAGTGCCCCCCTTGTAACTAAAACTCCAAGCCCTGGTGACCCCAGCGGGTCTGAAGATCCAAGCCCAAGCACTCCCCCGGTCTAAAGTCCTGAGTCCAGTTGCCCCTAAGAATCAGAAACTCTGAGCCACATCCCACCCAGATCCTTGATGCCCCCCCTCTTCATCAGTGCACTTTTAATCTCCTGTAGCTGAAGCCCTGAGCTCCAGGGCTAAATCCTGTACAGTACAGTACAGGGCACTGTTTGCCGGGGATATTTTTTTTGTTTGCGCTGCTGCTTGATTGATTACTTCCAGTTCCACGGGGTGTCCAGTTCACTGGTAGTAATTCCAGTGTTTGTATTTTTGAGGTTCTATTATACTGGCAACTCTCATGTTATACCTAGTCTATATAGACAGAATAAAAATCTTCAGGATTGTTCTTTCAGGACCATTGTTTATACAGCCTTTGAGGAAAAATATCAGCCAGAGACTAGAAACTTTCTCTATTAATGGATTGGTGCATGACACTTTTCTAAAATACTTTGATTAGAATGAAGTAGTAGTAATGTTGTTTGTCATTCTTCAGCACATTCATTTTCCTCCTCAAGCTATATCTGCACCTTATTTACCACACATAATAAATGAGCAGAGAACACACCTACTCAGTTGCAGAAGAACTAAAGAGTCTTGAAATGGGATTAACATTCTCTGCTCCTAATAAATTATAGACTAGGCAATTGAGAATTAGTCTCTCTGAACAAAAATTAAAGCTATTTCTTGCACTTGTTTTCAGCCTGTTCCTTTTTCCTCTCTGCAGCTTCGCTGTGTTGAAGATTTTCAGACTATGCAAGTGATCAAACTCCTAAGATATGAAAAGAAAGTGGCTAAAATGTGTTTTTTAATGATCTCCATCTTCCTTATCTGTTGGATGCCTTATGCAGTGGTCTCTCTTTTAGTAGCTTCTGGCTATGGCAACCTCGTAACTCCAACCGTGGCTATCATCCCATCTTTCTTTGCCAAATCAAGCACTGCATATAATCCAGTTATCTACATCTTCATGAGCAGAAAGGTGGGTTAATCACAAACTTAGTTGATCTGAGCAATTGATGGATGCATATGGCACAGCTGTGAGGATTATACTGGATACAGAGACCAGTTTTCAAACTTGCCCATTTAAATTAATAGCACTTGCTCTAATTAGCAAAGAGGTCTGAAATGGACACCGAGGTGTCCAAACGCTTATTTGAGCACACAAATATGGAACCTATTGCAGAGTAGACACAATTTCTGCCAAAACTCAGGTACATTTCCATTGGAGATCTGCTTGGGTTCCAGTGTGGCAGCCCCTGAATTGGGGATTCATGTTCAGGAACTGTCAGAGCCCTAGAAATCATTGGAAGCAGGCTACCCGCCAAATAGTATTCCCCAGGAACACAAAGATAGGAAAATTATTACTGTGGCTAGCCCTTGAAAATGCTGAGGGGTAGGCTACCAAGGATTATCCCACCCATGTCCTAAAACTGAAGCAAAGGTGTAAGGGCTTTTTCAGAGTGTGGTTTTTGTGGAACTGCTCAACCAGGGTTCCAGGGATTTCTTTATATCCATTTCAAGGCATTGCCAAATTAATTTGTTTGGTATTAAACTGGTGAATTATATCAGCCGTCAAGTTCACTTGGAGTTTTTGAAGTTCGCGAAGATATGGAAGTACTGTTTGTTATGTGGAAAGTAAAAAAGTGATTGCTACATTTAACCCTATTCTACTCTTAGGATATGTCTACACTGCCACCCTAGTAACGGTAGTTTGAATTAGGAGCTTTAATTCGAACTACCTAGCCCGTGCCGCGTGTAGTCGCGGGCAGGTAGTTAGAACTATGGGGCATTTAAAAATGGCGGCGCCCGGGAACATGCAAATAAAACTCGGGATATTTAAATCCCGGGCTTCATTTGCAAGTTTGAATGATTACATTAGCCACCCTAGTTCGAACTAGGGTGGCAGTATAGACATACCCATAGAAGCCTTAAACTTCTGTCTAATCAGGAGAGTAGCCACAGTTGCTGTATCTGTAAAGTAAGATCACATGTATCATAAATGATTGTGATTTAAATGGGACAAACAAGTGCTGATCATATCTAGGATCTAAATCCATTAATGGTGGGAGGAGGGAGGGAAGAGAAGCATTTAATAATTTTCCTTTCCACTGCTATTTTTATTTAAAATGAAATTAGTTCATTGTTGCCAACTACTGGGATGTTATTGCAAGTCCCTAAAATTCGGTGTTTAATAAAGTTCCAGTTTCTGGGGATATGCCAATCACAAGAAAAAATTCAGCCTTTATATTTTTTTAAATAGAGAATTGTATTGCCCTCTTAGTTGTAGGGCAAAAAATGTAACATTGTGAACTCTAGAGGCTCCAAAATCATGAAGCATAACTAAGTCTCGGATGGGGCCTGACTGATGATTTTTTGAATATCTGAAGTTTGTGATATGAGTTCATGGGAAAATATTATAAGAACTATTCTAAAGAAACATTGTTCATATGAACAATAATCATGCCCCTCCAAAGAAAAGAGCTTGGTGACAAGCATTGCAAGCTGCCTGTTCCCCCTCTCCATAGCTAGCTTCTAAGCTACTGTGCCTGGCCTGCTGCTCTTGCTTGCAGGCATCCTCTCCAATGCAGAGTTGCCAGCTCCTTTGATTTCATGAAGAGTTTAGTCCTAATGGATGCTTGTGTTCAAGCACTAATGCTTCCCGAACCCGGGAGAATCTCATCTTTCCTTTAAAAAAATTAGCCCATTTCTAGTCTTTGTGGTTATCGAGAAAAACTGGAAAACATGATCTGCATTTACTTTAAAAGCTCAAACATAAGAAGGCAAACAAACCAAAAAAAAATCCAAATGGTTTTTTTTTTTAAAGTCTCAAGATTTTTAAGCCAAGCCACACAATTGTGGGCCTAACACAGTATTTGAATGTCAGGAGTTGGCAATACAATGCAACCTCTAGCTCCCAGTGTCTCCTGAGCCCAGGTTCCCTTGTGATGTTACCTCCTTTTCCGGTTCTCTAGGGATTAACTGAGCAGCACTGATCTTTACTGTCTAGTTGGTCCCCTCCAGCTCATTTAGTGGAGGGGGTGGGATGCACGAAGAAGAAAGGTACCCACTAATGAGACAATACGTTCATTGCACTGCTGCTATTAATTCATAACCTACTGGCAGCTCTAGAAACTGGTATAACTATTCATTGGAAATACTAGATACACTTGTCATCACTGAATGCATTGTGTAAAAGTGAGAGCTTTGAAAGGTGTAATTTGAGTCTATTTTTTCCTCTTTGCAGTTTCGACGATGCCTTTTGCAGCTCTTGTGCTTTCGCCTGCTAAGATTCCAGAGGACTATGAAAGAAAGACCAGTGTTAGGGAATGAAAAGCCAATAAAACCAATAGTTATGTCCCAGAAAGTTGGGGACAGGCCAAAAAAGAAAGTGACTTTCAGCTCTTCCTCAATCATTTTTATTATTACAGGTGATGATACCCAGCAAACAGACAACAGCAGCAAATACAATAGCATGAAAATAAATGTGATTCAAGTAAAGCCACTATAGTGGCTAAGCTACATGTGTTAGAATCTGAATAGACGTTAGCCAATGAAACTGTTTGGTGTGAAGATTTCTTTGATTATAGTGTAATGAGGAAAGCACTGTCCTTCAGCTTTTGAAATGTTGAACCAATTCAGTGGGGTGAAGCTCTATGAACAATTTAATCATGGCAACAATATAGAATTCTTTACATTTGTACCCAACGTATTGCTGGACTGAATTTTTTTAAAAATTGAGTAGTCAGCATGCCTTAAGTCACAGACTTACCAGGGAAATCCAGGGAGTTTCTGAAGCAGGCCTTTGGTTTGCTGACCAGAACCTGCTCTTGACAAAAAAGGTGACTTTCACATTGCTGCCTCTACCGTCAGACACAATACAAAGCCAGGAGGAAGTTACAGCTTGTTTAGTTGAAGCTGTCCTGTTGTTTTGGTGCTACTCATTAGGTGCCCTTTACCTAGAGGTGGGCAATAATTTTCTTAGGGGGGCCACTTAATGAATTTTGGAACTGATCTGGCTCCACCCCTGGAAGGGCCAAGGCCTGGGGCAGAAGAGGTGGGACTGAAGACTAGCCTGCCCCTAGAGTGGCATGGTGCTGGAGGCTTTGAAGTAAATACACAGCAAAGAGCTTGTGGCTTTGGCCCCTGCCAGGTCAGTGCTGTGACCGGGAGCTGGGAGCCATTTAAATAGGATCCTGCTGCCTGAGCCATTTCCTGGAAATTCAGTGGCACCGGCAGAAGGATATAAACATAAAGTGGACAGATGCATTCCACAGCCTGGATCCGGCATCCAGGCTGCATCTTGCCCAGCCCTGCCGTAACCACCATGAGAGGTGTTCTGGAGAAATTAAAAGGAAATAAAGACACTGGTAAAGAGATGACTAAAAGGAGAGCAAAAATGTTGCACACCACTACATCCTGCTTTAGTTTAAAAAAAAAAAAAAAAACCTAAAAAAAAAAAATCTAACAAACAGCAGAAAATGTAGATTAGGAGGCACTGACAACAAAACCACACGCATATACACATTTATTACATGGAACTGAGATCCTGATTACTTTTTGATCATTACCTTTCCTGTAATACATTTTGTGAGCGTAACAGGTATCAACCCAGCTGCCTGTGCTTACATTTTAACTCTAAGTAATAACACTCAGCAGAATAGTTACAGAAGTGACTCTGAACTTGGTAAAAAGTCTTGAAAATTATTGCTTTTCAATGCTGTACTCCAGAAGTAGCTGCATTTCGATAGTAGGCATGTTTGTGTGTTGGGACTCGAGTCTCCACCCCACTACATTAGTTTTACATCAGTGAACTGAACATGTATCAACTGAATTTCATTGATGTGTAATGGAGAATCAGGCCCAGGGGTGATCCTGGATTGGTGTTATTTTAGGCCATCACTTCCGCACGTGTTGCCATTAGGACAATATGGAGCCTAGAGTATAGCTTGTAGTTTCTCCGCTCTGATGGAAACTGGAGGAGAAGCAGATATGGGGCCAAGGGGACCAGGCTAGACACTCATTTGCACTAACAAGAGTTGATCTGGCCTCAAAGAGTTCAATAGGGACCAGAAACAAAAGTCATCAGCTAGAGCCTGACCACTGGACATACTGATTGAACTCAGCTGGTGTTAAAGTGAGGGACCCAGTCCACTCCCTCCCTTCTTTCAAGAGGCTAAAAACATTTCATTTTATGCAGTCCATGAACTCCTCAGACACAATACAAAGGTTTCTTTTCTTGTTCCTAGGCAGGGGTGTAGCAGCAGTGGCATGAGGTACCTTGTACACTAACCCCTCTGTTGTATCCCCACTGATAAGCTGACTATATGTAATGTTCTAATCACATAAGCACACAAAGAAATAGGCATTAGTTCATGTAAGAAAGGACATAGGTGAAACACTTGTCTACTCCCCGCCCCACATAGGCATAGTTTTGAGTTGTTTTGTGAATCTGGATTCATGTCCTTAATTTAAGTTATCTGTTTCCCCCTTTTTCCTACCAATGATCACTACCTATGCACATTTGTTTTTACCAAAGAGAGAGAAATGCACCAGAAATCCACATAAATTACCATCCTTTAACAGAATGTGTATGTTTAATATTTTAGCGTTTGATGTGTCTCAAGCCTTTTATGAGATTAAACTTACCTTATTTGTCATACATTAAATTATGGTCAAGTATTTTCTCCTTTTGAGAAGGAAATGGCTCTTTACAACAGCTACTGGACATATCTAGAGCTTCTTAGGAACTGACAAAACAATAGTATTTCACTTTTGGTCATAAACATTTTGCTTTTTGCTCTGTTGAAATTGCACAGAAAGCTACTGATTTATTTTATAAAGAACTCTCATATAATCAGCCTTGTTCAGAGAGACATTGTCATGGAATGTAGCCACCCAGTTCACGCAGATAAGAAGTTACCGTGAAATTAAAAATAAACTACTAAGGAGGCTAGGATTATAAATCAAAATAATCTGGATAAACTGGAGAAATGGTCTGAGGTTAATTGGATGAAGTTCAATAAAGACAAATGCAGAGTACTCCACTTAAGAAGAAACAATCAGCCGCAAACATACAAAATGGGAAATGACTGCATAGGAAGGAGTACTGTGGAAAGGGAGCTGGGAGTTATAGGGTACATCTACGCTGCAACACTATTTCGAAATAACTTGCGCTATTCCGAAATAATTTAGTCTGCATCTATACAGCAGGCAGTTATTTTGAAATAGTGTCAAAATACTGTCAAGCTGAAGGACTTCTTACTCCTACTCCTGTAACCCTATTATATGAGGAATAAGGGAAGTTGGAGGAAGAGTGCTCTATTTCAAAATAAGTGCTGTGTAGATGCTCCCTATTTCAAAATAAGATACACAATTGATGTAGCTCAATTTGCATAGCTTAATTCTGAGTTAAGCCCTGAAGTGTAGATGTGCCCATAGTGAACCACAAGCTAAATATGAGTCAACAGTGTGACACTATAGCAAAAAAGTAGGACTGTCAAGTGACTAAAAAAATTAATCACGCGATTAATCGCACTGTTGTAAAAGAATAATAAGAATACTATCTATTTAAATATTTTTGGATGTTTTCTACATCTAATATATTGATTTCAATTACAACACAGAATACAAAGTGTATAATGCTCACTTTATATTTATTTTTGATTACAAAACATTTACACTGTAAAAAAAAAACACTTTAGTTCACCTCACTAAAGTATTATAGTGCAACTTCTATCATGAAAGCTGAACTTAAATTCTTCTCCTATTCAAAAGAGTCCTGTTTTAGCTCAGCCCCAGCTGCAGGCAGCACAGGGCTGGAGGGGGGTTAGATTCTCCTGTGGGCAGTGAAGAGTTCAGGAGAGGGGGACTCAGCCCCAGAATCAGATGTGGGGGGAGGGTCACCCCAGCCTCAGGAGGCAAAGAGAGGGTGGCTTGGGTGAGCCCTGCAAGGGCGGGGGGCACAGTTTGAAAATAATTTCTCAAAAGAAGACTGTTTAGCTTAGAGAGGAGATGAACAAGGAAACATGATGAACATACAAAAATATTTAATGGCATAAAGAAGGCAGAGACATTTATAATACAAGCCCCTGGGGACAGATTGGGTAGAGATGTAATTTCCAGCTCAGGTAGATGTACACACCTAAGCTTTGAATGAGGTAGTGCACTAAATGCAGAAGTGTAGTTGTGGCAGTTTAGGTGGCAGGACAATTTAACCACATAGGTAAAATCCCTCCTGGGACTTAGGTACTTGGGCAGTTACCTTTCTTCTTACTCATGGCAGAATGGCTGCATTTCTATTTTTAGTGCACTAACTTGATCAAAATCAGTGCACGCACACAGGGCTGGACTAAGGGGTGGGCGAGCCAGCAGCTGTCCGGGGCACCAACCGATGGGGGGGGTCGTCTGATGGCAGTTGTAAGGGGTGTGCAGTGTCCCTTATAGCTGCCATCAGGCACCGCGTGCCTGGCTCCCGTAGTGCCGCCCCCCCCCCCATCGCCATGGTGCTGGCCAGCAGCACCCTTCTCCCCACGGCCGCAGGGCCCTGCACGGCCAGGCGCTGCATGCCAGCAGCGGTGGCTAGGATGGGCTGGGCAGCGCATGCGTCGTGTGCCCCAGGATGGGCCCATCCTCCCTGGGGGTGGAGGATCAGGCTCGTGCATGCGCCGTGCGCCTGGGGGCGGTGCCGCGTGCCTGGGCCCGGGGCACCAAAATGGCTCGGGCCAGCCCTGCACGCACATCTACCAGAGCCAGAAATCACACCATCAGCTTGAAGTTGGACAAACCCATAAGAACATAAGACCAGTCATCCTGGGGTCAAACCAAAGGTCCATCTAGTCTAATATCCTGTCTTCTGACAGTGGCCAATGCTAGGTATCCCCAGAGGGAATGAAGAGAACAAGTTATCATAAGCAGATCCCATCCTTCTTGCCCATTCCCAGCTTCTGACAAACAGAGGCATTGCTTTGTGATTGGAGAATGGAAATAGGAGATTAACCAGGACAATTTTGTTCAGCTTCTCCCAGTAAAACTGTTGTGATGACATCTTTTGTTTCTGTAAATTTTTAAGTCATGGTACTTACCCTCAACAACTTAAATCTGAGTTACACAAGTGTGAGAATTTTCAAATGTGTATTTGCAATATTATTTGAAAGAAGGATAAGTAACTGAAACATTCAGAAAGAACTTTCAGAAATCCATCCTTTTCCAGGGTTTTGTTTTTTAACCAATAGAGGTTACATCAATTTAAAATATGCTGAAAAGTAATAGTGAATATTTTACCAGAAATTAGGGAACTATATATATAGTGTGTAAAAAAGCATTTCTCTCTGTCTAGTTATTGAATTAGTAAGAGAAAACTACACACAAATGAAATGGAAGAAAAAAAATCTAGATTATTTCTACAACAAATCAAAATACAAGTGATTATTTAGAGAGACACTTAATATCATACACATTTAGCCATTCTTCCATTCTGTTGTTGTCTCATTGCCAGTTTCACCATATTTTTTGCATTTGAGCTCCCTCTTGTGGCCAGTTCAGGTAATAAGTCTATTCTGACAAAGGGCAATTCTACTACAGGGGGAATTGGATCTAAAGTACATAACTTCAGCTATGTGAATAGCATAGCTGAAATCAATATACTTAGTTCTACTTACCACAGTGTCTTTACTATGGTGCATCAACTGGAAATACTCTCTCGTCCACTCCCTTTGAGCTTTTTGTTGAGGTGGAGTACCAGAGTTGACAGGAGAGATTGGTGATCGAATTATCGAGTCTATCTCAGACACGATAAATTGGCACCCACTGGATTGATTGATATCCCATTGCTCCAGCCAGTAGAGAAGACCAGCACAGAAGCCTACACGCAACAGAAGACTGTTTTCACTAAACATTCTGTTTGGGAGGTTTCTGTGTGATTTAGACGAATCTCTCATTACCATTTTGTCAAGCCAAGAAATATAAAAGCTGAATTTCAAAGAAAGTCTGGTCTATTGCTATAAAAATGCCAAATGTCTATATTCTTACACAGTCTTAGAAACCACTACATGGACATAGTATAGGACCTGTAGAAGGAAAGTGCCTCTAACACAACTTTCTTGCTCTCCTAATCTTTATGACTTGTTTGGGGATAGAACCATCCATAACACCAGTACACTTAGCAAACAGGAGTAGCTAACAGGGAGTTTCATGAAGGAGTGCTCCTGGTGAAAGAGGATTGACTACAGGACCTTAGGGATAAGTGGCCGTCTGTAGTGTGCGTGTTTATGGGTTACTTGCTGGTTGTTGGGTTTGTGTTTTTCCATTTGTTTGAAGATCCATGTGCTGAGCTGTTTTTTTGAAGGACTGTGTGCTGAGGCCAGCAGTTGGAAGCTGTGAGCTTCTTAATGAGGGTTTGAAATCTAGAAGTCTCTGTTCATTGGTCAAGCCTTAACCCAGGCCTGCACAACATATGGCCCATGGGCTGCATGCGGCCCGTGACGACTATGGGCGGCACAGCCCCATCCGATCTGCCGGCCGGGTGGAGGAGCGGAACACAGCCGGGGAGGGGGAAGTGCTGTAATTCTCACCGCCAGGCTGCCTGCGTGCCGCTCCAGCGTGAGGAGGCGGGGCGCGAGCCAGAGGGTGGGACACTGGCAGACGCCAGGACTCTGGCGTGACGCGGCATTGTGACGTCACAGCCGGCGACGACCGGATTCAAAAAGGCTCCGGCAGTCCCACAAACTGGAAGGCAGAAGCCAGGTAGGGGAGGGGAAGGGGCTTGTGCTGAGGGGAGAGGGGCAGGTCAGGAGAAAGGGGAAGGCACCAGGGGACAGGATGCCGGAGAGACAAATGCCAGGGATCCAAGTGCAGACAATGAGGGACAGGGCAGGAGGGGAGGTGTCAGTGGGAGGGGGGACATGGTGATGCTGGGAGAGGAGAGGGGAAGGGCATTGGGAGCTGTATGTTGTGCACACCTGATCTAATTGAAAAATTCTTAATAAAGTATCACCTCCCCCCCGCTCTGAGCTAGGGTTCCCAGGTGTCTGGTTTTCTACCGGACAGTCCGGTATTTGCGCTCTCTGCCTGGCTGGGCACTGGACGGAAGCCTGGTGGCACCTCCTGTGGTTTCATGCTGAAGCCGGGTGGTGTGGGTTTTTTTTTTGTATGCCCGACATGCGTTTAGTATTTTTGGGAGGGCATCTGGCAACCCTACTTGCGGCCCGTAGCTATTTTCTTTGGAGTAATATGGCCCTCACCGCTTTCTTAGTTGTGCAGGTCTGCCTTAACCAGGAGGTGGGGCTATCAGGAAGGGAAGGCCAGGCCTATATAAAGCCTGCTAGTAAGCGACCAGGGAGCTTAGTGACAAGGAGCAGCTAACGGGGAGTTTTGTGAGGGAGTTGGAAGAGGGCTAGGTACACTTGGCAGTCTTTAAAACTTTTAAACTAAGCTAAAAACCAAAACTACTTGATTTAAATAAAAACCTTATCAATAATCTAATTATCCGTAGGAAAGAATGCAGGCAGAAGCCCAGCAGCAGAGTGGGGGCTATCCCTTTTATTGCACCCAATGTAGTATGTATGATTACCTGCTCTATGGACAGGTGGCATATGTGTGCCTTTGGTGCAAGGAGCGCCTAACCCTCAGAGATCGCATATAGGCTTTGGAGGCCAAGATGGCTGAAATGGAAAAGCTAAGGCAGGCAAAGAAATTTACAGATGAGGCTTTCTGGGACACTGTAGAGCTGTCCCACCTCTGGTTAGAAAGCCCCTTTGCTGTTAAGGAGGGTGAAAAGCTCAGGGAAGGAGAACAGTCAATTGGAGCAGGGGGAAATAATCCCATAGTTGGGACCCTCCTTCCAGAGGATGTTATGGTATCCTCTCGCACTAGAGATACCTCTTTGGGGGAGGGAACTCAGTCATTAGGAAAAGACAGGTATAGTAATGGGGGAGTTGATCATTAGAAATATAGATGTGTATGGTGACTTGCCTGCCTGGTGTGAAGGTTGTGGATCTCTCGAGACATCTAGATAGACTCATGTGTAGAGCTCGGAGGAGGGGGTGGTCGTGGTACTCGTAGGTACCAATGACATAGCAAAGGGTAGGAGAAAAGTTCTAGAGGCCAAATTTAGGAGATTGAAATCCAAGACCTCTATAGTAGCATTCTCTGAAATGCTTCCAGTTCAACACCCAGGGCCAGGTATGCAGGCAGAGCTTCAGGAAGAGGGTTTAGATTTATTAGGAACTAGGGAAACTTTTGGGAAAGGGGAAGCCTGTACAGGAAGGATGGGCTCCACCTAACCCAAAATGGAACCAGATTGCTGGCACTTAACATTAAAGAGGTCATAGAGCACCCTCTGCCCTTTCCCTTCCCTGAAGCCCCAGCCCCACTCACTTGATCCTCCCACTCTCCATTGCTCATTCTGAAATTTACAACAGAGGAAATATACAAGATGAAACAAGAGCCGAGGTGTCCTGCTTATGAATAAAGATGGAGAATTGTTCTGGTATATATTGGTGTGCAAGAAACACACAGGGTTCTTCTTTGAGGAAGCAAGTTGACAGAATACTTGATCATGAGAGGTGGGTCCCAGTCAACCTGGTTGTAAAATGTTGTAAGGATCTGGGGTGAGTGTTACCGTATGAGACATGGGACTATCTAATTAATTAAGTCTAGGCCCTAGGATGCGCATTATGATTTTATATGTACCCATGTTTCCATTTAATCTATTTGCTACTTCTTGAATCTCTGTGGTGTGTTAAACTCATGCTTCATTTCACTACAAACATGTTTAAATGCCGGGAGTTATGCTGAATAGTAATCTGTGTGTGATGCATAAACTGGGCTGTACTGTTTCTTTGGAAGCAGCAAATCCATGAACATGGTCACTGTCCAGCAGAGCGGGACCGGATATTCCAGATTGCTCACAGCTGTCACTCTAGAGGGGAGTGTTGTGTTGTCCGTGGAGTTGGGGAGCTGACTCATGATAAGCACAAAGTTCCCTCACTCCACAGGCAGGTGGCAGTAAGGTGCCTCACAACTCTGGGTACTCTTGGGCTACATCTATACTACAAGCCTTTTGCGGAAGAACAAATGCAAATGAACTGCTCATTTGCATATCTTATGCTCATTTGCATTTCCTCTTCCTTTCCCTTTTGCGGAAGAGGTTTGTGTGCAAAAAGGCGCTGTGTAGACAGTGCATTTTTGTGCAAAAACCTCCTTTTGCACAAGAGCTGTTTTTCCTCATTTTTTGTGTCATCTTATAACAATGAGCTTAATACATAATATTACTTCTGTCTTCATAGAGAAAGATTTATAACAATAGGAAACAGTCCATTTTCAAGGAAATGACTGTTTGAAGCATTGGCATAACTAAAAGCAAGTAAGAAATATAAGGAATAGCGGAACGTTCCTTATTTTCAAAATTCAGCAAATATCATATTTGGCTGTAAATACAAAATATTTCTTCCCTCCCTTTATTTAGCATGATTGGAGTTCAGTATCTACATTCCTTTCCTTATTTTTGCAATATGTTTTATTTTTTCTTGGTACCATAGAAAGGTAGGGCTGAAAGAGACCTCAATCTATTATCAAACCCCTGCATTGTGGTAAGATGAAGTAAACTTAAACCATCCCTAACAAGTGTTTATCTAACCTTTCCCTAAAAACCTTCAGACACAGAGATTCCACAGCCTCCTTTGGAACTCTATTTCACCACTTAACTAACATTATAGTTAGAAAAGTTTTTCCTAATATCTAACCTAAGTCTCCCTGGCTGCATATTAAGCCTGTTTCTTCTGGTCCTACCTTCAGTGAACACAGAGAACAGTTGATCCCTGTCCCCTTTATAACAGTCCTTAACATATTGAAAGATTGATATGAGGTCCTCTCTAAGTCTTCTTTTCTCAAGACTATGACATGTTCCGTTTTTTTAACCTTTTCTCACGGTCAGGCTTTCTAAACTTGTTACTGTTTTTGTTGCTCTACCTCTTTTCTAAAGTGTGGAACCCAGAACTAGATACAGTACTTCAGCTGAAGCCTCACCAGTGCCAAATAGAGCAGGATAGTTACTTCCTGGTCTTGCATATGGCACTCTTCTTAATATACCCGAGATGGGTGTAGCAGGCCTTTGTGGCCCCATGCTGGAGACCTTGTGGTCTTACTACACCTCACCAAGAACTGGAGGCATGAAGGCGAGTCCTCCAAACCTACCTAGAAAAGCAGCACAGAATCAACCAGTCACAGATCAAAAGGCTCAGATAAAAGGTGTTTCAGGGTCTTAGCAGGGACCAAAGGAGGGAAGAAGGGTGCTCTGGTCAATGGTGTTTGACAATTAACCAGAAGTTATTGCTGGTTGAACTTACGTAGTTGGAACTGTGGAGAGAGAAGAACTTAAGAACTCTGAGGTAAGGGGTGAAGATGGGGAAGAGGCCCAGAGAAGCAACAACAACAAATTGAAGTGAGTGATATGTGGCTGTTGTGTATAGGATCCCTGAGTTGGAACCAGGAGTAATGAATAGGCCTGGTTTCCACCACCAGGAAAATGGCCTAACCCGCAAGAAGGGGACAAGATTTGTTTGGAAGTCTGAGCGAAAGGCTAAAATTAAATGGCCTAGAGCAGGAGTGAGGAACCTTTTTTGGGTCGGGGGGGACCACTGACCCACAGAAAAATCAGTAAGGGGCCACACACAAGTGAGAAGAAAAAAACCCTCCCTAATGTGGCCCCCAACTGAGAAGGAGAAAGACACTCCCCACATTCCTTTCCCACACCAAAGCTCAAGGGCCCCAGCCTAGTAGAATGTTATGTGCTCCAGCTCCATGGTGGGGTGATGGAGGGGTGCTGGAGCAATAGTGCGGGCTCCCCAATGCTTGTGAGTCCTGAGCCTTGGGTGGACAGATCCAGGCAATCCTGGGGCCACATCTGGCCCTCAGGCCTGAAGTTCCTCACTCCTGGCCTAGAGGTAAGGTGGAAGACCATAATAATTCGAACTAGCTAGTTCGAACTAGGCTTAATCCTCGTGGAATGAGGATTACCTAGTTCGAACTAAGCGCTCCGTTAGTTCGAATTAAATTCGAACTAACGGAGCGCTAGTGTAGCGCCTATGAAAGTTAGTTCGAACTAACATCCGTTAGTTCGAACTAACTTTGTAGTGTAGACATACCCATAGATGCTAGAGCTATGCATGCAGAGGATTGCTGCAACACCTTCTGTCCCAGTTTCTATTATATGCAGGGCTTACAGTTTGATTCAATGGCTCTCAGCACCCAGACTTTATGAACTGTTTCAGTTCCTCTGTATAGAATTGAGAGTGGATTAAAAAAAAATCCGCATGTCATGCTGCATGCATGTGGATCCTTCTGCAGAAATCTTTTTAGGTACTGCTAGGAGTGATATTGCAGCCTACTTTGTATGCATAAGCAAGCATGTAATTAAGAAAGTGAGCAGAGCTTGAAACAAAGGATTCTGGGGAGTCTCTAATAAAAAAATAAATGAGGGAAAACACAAGCAGAAAGGACGATGTCAGAGTGAAATATTCCTGCATCTTAGTGACAGCTGAAATTTAGCATCTTTGTTCTTAGCACACAAAGAACTTTCTCTAACATAGCTGAATAACTTGCTCAGTGAACAGTAGGACAAATTCACTTGCAACATTAAAAATAAATAAATGTGGCCACTTTGTTTAAACAGCTCTACTGTGGCAATCAGAGGTAGGAGAAATTTGACACTGGTCTATTTCCCAAATCATATGCTTCATGGTGATTGGTAGAACTTTTTATTTGGCTCATTATAATCATTTTAAGGAGAAGAGCACTTTGTGCATTTTTCAAAATGTAGATGTTTTCCTTGATGTTCTGTCTACATTCTGTGCATGCATACCTGGGCAAGTGAGAATAACTACCTCAGTGTGTAAGTGGGAAATATGTTTTGCATGAGTGTATATAGGGCATGGCAGCAACTTATGGCTCAGATGACTAATAGTAGGATCCTCAGGTTTGTCATTTCCAGGTCACAAATCCAGCCCGAGCAACTAATGACAGATGAGGTCAAACAGCCAACAATAGGTATATCTCAGTCCATTTCTGAGAGCCCACATCTCACCAGCCACCACCATGATTGCCAGAACAGATATTCTTTGTCAGTCTTAACAGAGAGTTACAAAGACTAAAAGGAGCTAGAGAAAGCATTTCTCTTTTCAATGCCTCAGGTAATTCCCCACAGGCAGAGTGAAATTGCTGCCCTTGTTGTCGCTTTTTTTAAAAATGAAATATGAAGCTTCAGTTTTCAGGCATGTTAATCAGAGCCTTTTATTACAGAAACAATATACAGGCAGTCCCCGGGTTACGTACAAGATAGGGACTGTAGGTTTGTTCTTAAGTTGAATTTGTATGTAAGTCGGAACTGGTACATATTGTAGGGGAAACTCTAGCCAAACATTTCTCCAGAGCTCAGTTTTATTCTCCCACACCTCACTTCCCTCAGCCCTTTATTCTCAAGCTGAAGTGTCTGCTGAGAAAAGCCGCTCCACCTCTCCCTGGTCTGCTGGGCGGGGGGGACACTAGCTTCGCGTCTCCCTGGTCTGCTGGGGGGAAGCAGCTAGTGCAGGGTTGCCTCACACCGTTTGTAAGTAGGGATCTGATGTAAGTCGGATCCATGTAACCCGGGGACTGCCTGTATATCTATAGGAAATAGGATTTCCCATGCAGTTATGCATGGAACAGTTAGCAACTGTAGCCGAGTTGCTAACTATTTTGCAGAGGAAAATGGGATTGACTCTACATAGGAATAAAAGACCCTAGCCATGGTTGTGGCTGGCCTGGGTCATCTGAATTGAGCTTATGGGATATATGGGGCTAAAAATCAGTGGAACCTGAGCTCTGGAACCCTCCGTCTTGGCAGGATCTCAGAGCCTGAGCCTGAATGATTGCACAACAATTTTTCAGCCCAGGAGCCATAGCTCCATGAGCCTGAGTTAGCTCAGAATAACCATTGGTTTATCCTCCCTGTGTAGACACATCCTCAGATCCTGGCATAGGACAAAACTGGGCCTGAGTTTTCATAAGACCGTCTCACTTGGGGCTAAAATACTGAGCTTGTCCCAGGCTGTGATGTCACAGGGAGCAGGAGGGAAGCGGTAGGTGTGGACAACCCTTTCAGCTGCCAGAACAGGAGTGATTTCCACCCACAAGAAAAGGCTGAGAGTATCATCAGAGGTACTCCTCCTTCCTTTGGACATATGCAATTCACTGTGCTCTTTAACTAGATCATCATGTTTTTAAGTGGTGTAATCAAATGGGTATCAATTTTTTTCCTCCTTTTAAAAATTCAGGCCCCAATCTCACAAGCACTTGTGTATTTTGTTAGCTGTACACCTGGGAGTAGGCCCATAGGGCCCAATCCAAACACAAGGATGTTCATGGGAGTTTTTACTGTCTAATGGCCATGGGGCTATTCCCTTTTAGTCTCTTGTCTTTACATGGTCGGCCTGCCATTTGTAACACAGAAGATAAGATGTAGAATACTTAACATTTCTTTATGTTGCAGTATTGCCATTTTTCCAGCTCATCTCAGAACAAGAAGGAACTCCAGTTCTTCCCACCCTTTGCCTGCACATAACAATGGCATAACTAGGAGTGGAAATTTGGGTGGGCCCCAACTTTCAGAATGCCAGGCGATGACAGACTGTGCTAGCTCAGCTTTTTCCCAGTGCTAAGTCTTCTTTGTCCTAGCCCTGGTGCCGCCAGACATAGGTTTCACCTGCCAAGCTGGGCATTTGTATGGAGCAGTGCTGAAAATGGCCAGGCAGAGCTGTTGGGAGTATAGCTTTCTGAAGGGCAGTCACATCACTCCGTCCTGGATTTCAGGTGCCTGAGTGTCACTTCAGGTGCTGCTATCACAGCACTATACTCCTGCTCACATTGGTAGAGGCCCAAATGTTAAGTGGATGGGCCAAAGCCCACTCTGGCCCAACTGTGGCTATGCCCTTGCTGCATAAACACTGGCTACGTCTACATTGGCACCCTTTTCTGGAAATGCTTAAAACGGAACAGTTTTCCGTTATAAGTATTTCCGGAAAAAGCACGTCTACATTGGCAGGATGCTTTTCCGGAAAAGCACTTTTTCCGAAAAAGTGTCCGTGCCAATGTAGACGCGCTTTTCCACAAAAAAGCCCTGATCGTCATTTTCGCGATCGGGGCTTTTTTGTGGAAAAGACTACTGGGCTGTCTACACTGGCCCTTTTCCGGAACAGTTTTTCCGGAAAAGGATTTTTACCCGAAAGGGAGCAGCATAGTTTTTCCGGAAAAACAATGACGATTTTACATTAGATCATCATTGCTTTTCCGGAAAAGCATGCAGCCAGTGTAGACAGCTGGCAAGTTATTCCAGAAAAGCAGCTGCTTTTCTGGAATAAGTGGCCAGTGTAGATACAGCCACTGTGTCCTTTCCACTAGGAGAAACGTGTGCTTTGGATGATGTGTTTTATCGCCTACACTTCAAAAATGGCTGACAAGGTTTTATTCCCCAACATGTATAGTTACTTTCAGCTAGAGATAAAGCACTGATGGGGTCAAAGCAAGAGGGTTTAACAGAGGAAGAGTGGCTTCAATTAGGAAACTTTAATGTTGGTAATCTGGACTAGCCTTTACTATCTGCACACAGCTATCATGAACTGCTGTGAAATCTCAGAGGGCCTCTTGTGCTCATGCCATGTCTTACTTGTTCACCTGGTCACTCCAAAGAGTATATTTCTAGAGTGGACTAGAGTAGCACTTGGATATTTGACAGTTAGGAAAGTCTTATATCCCTTTCCACATGCTACAGACATGCCAGTGCAGAATCCAGAGGTAAGGGTGGGATGGGGAGGGGGAAGCTGTTAGAAAGGTAGTACATTCAGCTTTTCAAGGAAGAGGGATTTGGACTAGTTCTACATAAAAGGATTTATACCAATGGTGTGGTGGTGTAGGAAATTCATAAGGAAACATCATTCTCAGTTGAAAATAACCAGAAGTTTAGACATTTATTCCTGCCTCTGACTGTTGCAGTATATTTTGAAGGCAGAGCATTAGTGGATTTAGGAGGAATTAAATTAAACCAATTCATTGTTTTAGAATTGTCATTGGTTTGCTCCAGACCAAGTGGCTTTGTCCACAAGTCTGTACCAGATAGAACGTATGTGGTGGCCCATCTAAAATGAACCAGTTTAAGAGCTGACACGTATCCACATCCTAATAAGTGCTTCATAGACAGTGCTCTCAGCAACATTCTCAGAAGAAAAGACAAGATTCAAATGGATATTGACAGTCTCAGAGGGGTAGCCGTGTTAGTCTGTAACTTTAAAAAAACCTAAGTAGTCCTGTAGCACCTTCAAGACTAATGATATATATATATATCATGAGCTTTCATCTTCAGAACACAGTTAAAACACATGGGCTCACAATCAGGCGCCATTGCTGTTGGCTCTGTTCTGATAATAGAAGGTTCAGGTTTCAGTGCTTTTTAGGTCAGACACTTTTTAAACACAGGTGTAATTTGACTTTTATAGCTTGTAGGGTAGGAGGGGGGGAGAGGGAGGTTGGAAGGGGAGGAGCTCCAGTCAGGCCAATGGAGCCATGCAAGGAGGCAGCAAATCCCAAGCCTGCTGTTTGGAAGAGCAACATCCCTCCTCCCTCCTGCCCAACTATGTCACTGATTTTTAAATGTACACTTTTGCCAGCATTTCTCATCCCTTGCTCACAGTGCTGGGATGGGGTTAACCAGAGTTGTAGTGAGGGTGTATGCACCCCGGGGCAAAGGCATAATTTGTGCCTCCCCTGCCACCGCACGACAGGGCCCTGAACCTGCCGCATGGCTGAGCCTGACCCTGGGAGGGGTGGGGATCTTGTACTGCATCTTCCCCCACCCTCTCCAGTTTGTGACTGGGCCCCGGCATACACTAACATGCCAGCAGAGATGGAGGGTCGGGCTGGGGGCGGGGAGGAGGCTCCAGCCAGCGGCAGCTGGCGGACGAGAAGCAGGGAAGTTGAGGGATGACAGGGGGAGTGGAAGGGGACTAAATTGCCCCCCCCCCCAGTGTGGCACCCGGGAGCAACTGCCCCCTCCTCACTATGCCAATGGGTTTAGCATCAGTATACAGCACTACCATTTTAAAGCTGGATTATATGTCCTTGATCCTGCAAGGACTTACTTAGATGCTTATCTGTAAGCATGAGAATAGTCCCACTAAACTAAATGCACTCAATCCCGGATCCCTGCTACAACCATTTTGCACTGATGAGCAGCACAATGCTCCCAACAAAGGGGATGTCAAAGGATTTCCCGGGTGCTGGTGAATCTGGAAAGTGATCAAGCTCCTGGACTCCCTCTGATTGAAACCAGATTCCATAAAAATGATTTTTTAAGACTTGCTTTGAGTGGTGTGCAGGCCCACTGACAGGGAGAGGTAAAAGGAACAGCTGCTCAAGGGCCCAGAGGTTCAAATGGATGCCACTGATACAATCCCAGATCCTTGAAAATGTTTGACATGTGGGGCACGGGGAGGCTAGCCCCTGCCCCACCCCTGCTGCAGTCACAGAGCCACCCTCTATATCTTGTCTAGAAGCCCCACAAGTCTGTTACCACCCCTAGCTGTGTGCGGGGGGAGGTGGGTAGAGACAGGAGAGTAAGTTTCAGGAATAGGAGCTAAGAGAATAGTGAGGTTTGTCTCATCTTCAGTGATTATGCATTGTGGACACCATATGGCTGTCAAGGACATGAAACCTGTCACTGAAAATGCTTCTCTTTCAAGAGGTTTTTCTAACCATAGAACTCTCAGTTTAATTAACAGGAAAGCTCATCCCTGTAGAAATACTGAAAGCAGCAGCATTAGGTTCATTCTTCCAGGGGGTGCAAGGGGCTGAGAGGGGGAAAATATTATTTGAAGGCTTCATTGTAGTGCAAGGCTTTTTAATAAATCTGTGCCTATGTGAATTTCACTACCTGACAGCTGTTTTTCTCCCCCCGCCTCCATTTGTTGAAGCCACATTTACTTTAATTTCTTCAAATTTAACCCTTCAGGTAGTAGAAGCTGACTGAGCATGAGAATGGTGGAGGAATAATGGAGCTAGTGAAAATGAAATCTTCCATTGATTTTTCTTTAAAGGAAAGGTGACCCCACTGCAGGCGAGGCTGTAACCATGGTAGCCGTTGCAGAAGAAGAAAATAAAACACGTTTTGCTGTTACTGTAGGAGGCAGAAATGGACTCTGTAATGAATGTTTCAAGCCCAGGATTGTAGACATGAGATTTTAATTTAATATGCTTTGACTCTGAAGATCAGTTGTCTTACTGTAGCACTCCAGAAAAGGGTGTCAGTGATAAGATACAGTAATTGGGCCACACATGCACTAGAGAATCTGAGGGATATTAATGTTAGAGGAAATTTAACTCCCTCTTGATAATATTCACTTAACTAATGACAAATCTGTGATAGATGGCCCTAAATCTGTAGTGTCTGACTGTCATTTACAGAAGGCCCCTTTTGTGTCACACTGGCAGGGTAAAAGGAGCCATAAAATAGGCATAAATAGATTTTAATATAGCTTAGAATTCAGGCCATAGTGCTTAAACGGCACTTTTAAATTTTTCAAGTGCTTTTGAACACACTAATGATGCCCAGGAGGGAGGACAGAACAGAAAGGGGGAAAGCAAGGTTGAGTAACTTTCCTGAAACCAAGGCGAGAGAATCTGTATCAAATCTGGTACTCCACTGTGCAAGTTCTTGTTTTAGGCCAGTGCTCCGGACATTTGTCAAGTGATCTCTGGAGAGAAACAAGGATTCTAAACTGAGTTTGTGCAGCTTAATCTTTAAATACTGGAATGGGAGGTGTCATGGCTCTTTCCCCACTCTGGCATGATAAATGCAGAAGTGGGGGCCAGCAAGTGTACCCCAAAGCCTTATCTACCAGGCTGTGGTCTATAACTTCCCCCAAGATCTTAAAAACCTAGATCTTGGGAATAAAACTTCCGCTGCCACCACCCAAACGTTGATAAAGAAATCAGGGGAAAGATCATTTGGGAAATCTTACCCCTAAAATAAAAATCAAGGCACACAATTAACCACTGCCAGGTTAATAAAAAGAAAAGAAAGAACTTTTATTATTACAACAATATTCCTGTTGCAAACCTAATGACTAGATAGGGAGGTAACAAAATATACTCATGGGCTGTGTCTACACTGGGCCACTTATTCCGGAAAATCATCCGCTTTTCCGGAATAAGCTGCGAGCTGTCTACACTGGCCCTTGAATTTCCGGAAAAGCAACGTCGCTCTACTGTACAAAATCAGCCGCTATTCCGGAAAAACTATTCTGCTCCCGCTCGGGCATAAGTCCTTATTCCGGAACACTGTTCCAGAAAAGGGCCAGTGTAGACAGCCCAGTAGTCTTTTCTGGAAAAAAGCCCCGATCGTGAAAATGGCGATCGGGGCTCTTTTCCGGAAAAGCACGTCTACATTGGCCACAGATGCTTTTCTGGAAAAAGGGCTTTTCCGGAAAAGCAGCCTGCCAATGTAGACGCTCCTTTTCCGGAAAAACTGAAAACGGAATAGTATTCCATTTTAAGCAGTTCTGGAAATTCATGCCAGTGTAGACACAGCCATGGAGAAACTCCATGGGCCTAGAACTTAGTTACAAAGAAAAGCCAAAACATCTTTTAAACAGTGCCAGATCTCAGATCCCATACCCAATCCATAAAACAATAAAACCTAACGAAACTACCTAAACTTTACCCTACTTACAGAAAATGAAGAATGGTGTCTTGGAGAGAGAGAGAGATGCTTGTCCCTCTCTGTAGCTGCAGAGAGCTCTCTCTGAGAGACAAAAGGGAGCAAGAAAAAAAAAACCAAATTCCTTTGTCGCAGTTGGAAAAGTCCCACCTACATTCCTACTGGTCACTCCACCTGGCTAGGTGTAGTTAACCCCTTAATTCCCAGGCTGCTGGCTAACCCTCATAATCATGACAGGAGGTTCAAATAGCATCTTGAAACAAGGTCCACACACTCGAGCATGAACACTTGGCCCTCCCCTCCACCACCTTAAATTTACTTGGATTTGGAATCACTAGCCCCTGCCTAGCAACTGAGCTTAAAATAACATTTCATTCCCCCTTCCCCTCACAAAGAAAGCACATTTGAACCCTAAACAGCTCAAACTGATCACCCATGGCAAAGTCTATCTGCTGATCACGTAGGAGAAATAACTGTCTCTATTGCAAATAATTTGCTCTTAGGACTTTCTCTCTAGTTTACCAATAGATGGCAGGGGAGATCTCATTCAGACCCAGGCACACATGTATAAATGTCTTTAGAGGCAGATAGAACTTGACTGGTAAAGTGTATGTTTAGAAACAGTAATAGCCCTTGCACAGCATATATCCCCATCTCTAGATTTCAGAGTACATTACAAAGATGCTTTAATGCACAGACATCTGGATATTCAGATTATTAAGCAGGTCTTTAGGCTATGAAAAGCCTCACGTACGAAATGCTTCATAAACATCAATGACAAATGTATTGCAAAGGGAAACATTTGTGATGCAACTTACAATCCTCTGTTAAAGTGGTTCCGCCAAAGGGGCTCAGGTAACACAATAGACTTGGTCTAAGAATCAAAGTATTGGAGCTCAAAAAATGTTAATAGCTGCTTCCAACATGCATATGTTCTTTAGAATAAAAAGATTAAACTCTGTAAAGCTCCTAGGGGGATGCTTGTATTTCCTTCCCTGACAACTGTGCGAGCTTAAATTCTGACAGCGAGGATCAACAAACTAATGAGGGAGTCTAATGTGGGTGACAGCACCAAATCCCCACATAGGCTTCTGTCTCAGGCTTTTACTTTTCAGTTTGAATAGACATGTTTGAAAGGTATGGTGAGTGAAGCAAGCAGTAAATTAGGGCACATATACACCCAAGGCTGAAGCTGAATTATGTTATGCAACCTCCGCTACCTCAATTGCATAGTTGAAGTCAAAATAGCTTAATTTGGCTTTTGGCACTGTCTTCGACTGTCACTCTTCCTTCAACTTCCCTTACTCCTCATGAAATGAGGGTTACAGGAGTCGGAAGACATTATTTCAAAATAAAGGCTTGTAGTGTAGACACGCACTATATTATTTCGGAATAACATCAGTTATTCCAAAATAATGGTGCTGTATAGACGTACCGCCAGTTTTGAACACTGGCCTCTGCTGATGAAGCATTTACTCATCGCTTGTCCAGAAATGTCATCATATTTAGAGACAAGGTGTGTTTATAAAAGGGAGAATGACAAGGTAATTTGTCCATTTTACTCACTTCATTTGAAAGACTTCCACTAGTCATTTGTGGCACAGAATGCCAGACACTTGCGCCCTCTGAAAGCCACCACTTATTCAGGAGCAGTGCTACAATGCTAGGCCACCTCTGCAGGTTTGCCCTTTCCTCGCCCCACTGATTCTCTTCCCATCATGATAAGGTGTAAAAGTGCATACGAACCAGGGTGTGGGAACCATTTCTCCTGCCAGCGTATATGAATTTTATTAGGATAACACTAGAATTATAAACAAACATCAAATTGCAGTAAATAAAATGAACAAAGTTCATCTCATGACACATGTATGTCCACTTGCTCTTCCACACAATTCAGAGAAGGGGACCCTTGTCAAAGTTGTGCTGTGTTTAGTACTTGGTCACACATGCTCATTTGTTTCATCCGCCCCCTCAATAATTCCTGAAGCTCCCCCACTTAAACAATCACTTTGCACACTGGCCAGCTTGTATATCTCTGAAATCTATGCACAAGGCAAAACAAAAGGTTGCTGAGGTAAGAAAATTTGCTTCCTTGTGTAGTAACTAAGTCAGCATCAGTGATAGAAATTCTCTTCCAGATGTCACACCCATTATCACGGCGATTTCGCTTCAGAATGTGATGGGCATGGAAATACATATCTGAGCTACAGGAAAGGGAACTTTAAGACTACCAGAGACTCATGTCTACACCCGTCTTCTTAGGTCCTGTAACATTTAGATGCAGACCTCTCCATAATTTGATATTTAGGAAACAATAAAAGAATATAAAGACTGCTCACCTGTCTAGTTCTGTCTGAATAATGAATGTCTTTTATTACTCAAACTCTTGTAAGGTGAAATTCCTGGTATTGCCTATTTTTCTTTCGAGTCAAGTCTTTTTGTTTCCTTTCCTGAAGGCTTTAGAATTGTGTGTAGCATTTAAATGTCAGGGATGAACTTCATTAAGTTTCTTTCTGGCTAAGATCTGTGGCATTCAATCATCAGCTTGGTGGCACACATTCTGTACCTGTTTGAGATTACCACTACTGTCCTTAATTCATTATGTGCATGCTTACATACTGTTCTGGCTGGCTTGTATTTTATAATGTGATTTTAATTGTCAGCTCGGAGGGACACTTGAGAAAGGAAAAAAAACCCAACCACCCAAAAGACAACGGCAGAGTGCAATCACTGATTTTAAGTGTGTGTTTATTTCATTACACCAGGTAATTCAGGGATATGCACAGTCTATTCCAAAGGGTATGCAGACTATAAATTGGGCATGAGCAGCAGGAAAAAAAATCTTAAGGTAGCTAATGTAGTGCCAGATCCTCATCTGAGATCCAGTCCTGTTGCAATTCTCTGCTTCACAACAAAGATGATAAGGAGCAGTTGTCCTATCTTTCCTGCCAAGGTTCGCCTATCTACAGTAGAACTAGACTGAACAGCTCCTGCACATTTCCTTTCTGCCCTTGGGTGCTTCAGAGCATGACCAGAGAATTATTGGCTTTTCACCTATTCTTGGCTGGTATTAAGGCACTCTGAGGCCACAACCAACTCAGGCTGCTATCTAAATTAGGTTATGGTGGCATCAGAATATATGTAAAACCAACACCAGAATTCAGGGATCTCCTACCACCTTTATTGAGAGAGTTGGTGCAGTTGAAAATATGGCTTATTAAATTTTTGAATAGTTTGTCTTAGGAGGTCAAGACGCCACAGCAAGAAATTCAGCAATTAACACATAAAAGGAATAAAGTCACTGCATGGAGGAGGGACACATTTCCCTGATTGTGTCAGATGCAAATTGCATCTAAGTGATTCCACAGCCAAATAGATAGCCGAGGGCCACATCTTGGTACGGAAATTGTACGGAGGGCTGTGAGTGCACACAAAATTGGGTTTGTGGTACAGGAGTGGGGAAAGCTTTGGCTGGGGCCTGATATGAGTTCAGGGTGTGGGAGAGTGCTCCAGG